CTGATTTTTGTCTGTGCCTCCTTCTTAGAAAGAAAAATATTTTTGTTGTCCAAATTAAAATTGCTGATCAACTGAAACTTGAAACTTCTAAATATTCTTTGCAGAAACCCAGCTTTCTTTATGGTCCATAAAGCTGTGTTCAGGAAGCAAGTTTGTGCTGTTCCTATTCTGTTTGATTTAAAAATACTTGTCGAGTTGCCCTTCACTTTTTGTGGCTTTTGTCCCATTAATACTCCATGTTTATGGAAACATTTTTGAAAGGCCATTATCATGATACTGGTGGGATACTATTGGTATCCCTGTGTTTATTCTTTTTTTTTTTCCCCCTCCTGCTGTCTTGCACAATAACTCTCATCTTTTTCTCCTATAAAATTGATGGAACAAGTCTTTGCATCTGGCAAAAATGACCTTCCCAGATGGGGAAGCAGGGATGGATACAATGATGTAACAAATCAATCATCACCTTCCCTTCAGCAGCTATGGAGTGTTGATTGGGTGCAATTTAACCTACACAGTTAGTTAGCTGTGGTCATCTCTAAAGAATTGCTGTGTTTTCTTTAACCTGATGGAGATTCAATTTCAAAACAAAATTACCAAACATCTCCTTACAGAATTTCTATTCTCATGTAAATAACACTTTTCCAATCCTCTCTGTCCCTCCCTGTCCTTGTCCTGCTCTCACACATGGGATTTTCTCCTCTGCAGGGATTTTTAACTGAACACAGTTACACTTGGAAGCACTTGCTTCCTAGTGGTACATGTTGTGGGCTGTTTATGGCTCTGAGTTCTTTTGTTAGTGAGAAGAGCAAAATTTGTTTATAATAATTCTCTAGAGGTGCTGCTCCAAGGTATGCTCATGAAATACAAATGAACAGAGTCAATCCTGCATTTCCAGTCCCTCTCCAATATCTGGCTGATGGAGAACTCAATCCTTGCAATTTTTGGTTTTTAGAGAGGAGGGAGGGCTGCTGATGTAGCTCAACCATCTACATTTTGTCTCATTCTTCAGTGAATTTCTAATTCACGTTAGTTTTTCTCCTCCTCCCCTTTTGTTTTTTCCTTTGACTTGTTGCACTAGCATTGCATCAGGCTTTTAACTTTATGCTGCTTGGAAAAATAGCTTCTTCATTGGTCATTCTTTTTTCGTCCTGCTAGAGTATGATTTGGTATTAGCAAGTGCTCTCTGTGAGACATGTAAATACAGGGTTGAGGATGGCATAAGCATAACTCAAGGTAGTTCAGAATGTAGTTTAGGCTCTGTCTTGATTGTATGCTCTGTGGTAGTTTTTTTATCTGCACACAGATGCAGTTTCTGAGTAAAAACCAAGATATGGAAGGATGGAATTACTTGTCCCTGTGTTCTTGTTTGCTTTGTCCATTAACCTGCTGAAGGAGAAACCTTTCAGGAGAACCTGCCCACAGTACCCCAGAGGGGTGTGTTCCCTTTTAGAAGGGCTAATTGTTAGAAGAATCATTGCTTAGGTCCCTATTTCTCATCCATTGCTGTGTTTTTATGCTGTCTCAGAGACCATGATTTTTATTTTCGTGGGTGTGATCACCTGTAGTTATTCAGCTTAATTTTCTTTTGTATAATTTACTGAACCAGTCTTCTAAGTACTTCATGCAAGATGTTCAGCTGTCAGCCTTTGTCAGCAGGCAGGGTTTGCTGACAGGAAATGGCCTGGAGCCTGAAACACCCCCAGTAGCACAGAATTGAGGTGCTCCCTCAGGATTTTCAATTGCATGAAAAATTCAGGGTATCTGAAAAACCCTGTATTGTGTATTTAAAATAAATATAAATTCTTCTATGTCCTCCTCCAACTGAGGCAGAAGAGGCCAAGATGCTCAAATCCCAAAGGTGGGAAGGTCAGAAATAGGTGATTTACCAACAGTAACTATAAAGAATAATAAATTGATTTAATGTGCTTGTTTTAAATGAAGAAAGGTCTGTTAGATGTGTTATTCTTGTTCATCTACTGCCTGTAAAATGCTTCCTTTGAATTCTGAAATGCTTTTGGGCTTTGGGGGCGTTTTGGTTGGTTGGTTTTTTGCATTCAGGGCATTCCAGTTTCCATCCAAAATCAGCTAAAAAAATACAACATAAGAAAAAAATAATTTCTTGCTGTCTTAATGTAAAAACTCCCCATAGTGCTTAAACTGTAAACTATTCAAGCTGGAATACAAGGGAGCCAAAAGCTTGTCTTCCAGCTGCCTTACAGCTAGACTTGTTTTTTTTTCTTGAAGGCCAATAATGTTCAATTGGGGCCAGTTTTGTCAGGGTACAGCCTTACTTGTTTGGTTGGTGTCTTCCAGTGTCTTGTCGTCTTCTGTTTTGTTCTTCACTGAGGACAGCGTAGTTAATTCTGCTCCTAAACACTACAGTTTCTCTGGGGGAAAGGGAAGGAAGGGAAGTTGTGGAAAGACAATTTCTTAGGGTTCCCTCATTTTAAGAAGAAGCCTGAGGTTATTTACTAGGAGGATTAAACCTTGCTGCCAAATACACCTGTTCCCTCTGGTCAGTTGATCCGTCAAGGTGAAGAAAGTACTGGTTAGTGCTCACCCCGTCTCTTATTCTAGATGAAAATAAGGGAAGCCTAAGCAGAGATGCAGTTCTGCAGAGATGATGAACTCTGAGTCATCTCCAGGCTGAGTTTTCCTTATGTGTTATGTAACTGAAGTGGTTATACAACTGGAATGCATGTATTACAGCTATAGCACTTGTCAGTTGTCTTGTTTTGTTCATTTGATAACTGCTGTTATCAGGACATGTGGCATAACACCCAGTTTTCGCTAATGAAGCTGTTCCCATTGCAACATGCAATGTTGAGGTTTTCATGGAATGATTCCAAATTTGTTTCAGGGGAAAAAAAAAATTAAAAAAAATCTTGGCACTTAAATGTGCCTGGGTTGGAATGGTAAAACAGAACAAAAAGTTGATGCAGTTTTCAGCATGATCTTCACATTCAAGTTTAACTGCTCTAGTAAAAAGTTGGTTCCTTGTTATCTAGAGCTTTGTGACGCTCCTGCTGTTACAATAAATGCAGTATATAATAACTTGAATGCCATAATAGTTGAAAAAGTAAGCAGTATAGTTCTTAAGGGTTCCTGTGAAAGCCCTGATAAAGGTTACAGCTTGGAGCTGAAAGCCAGCACACACTCTGAGCATTTTGATACTTCAGTAAATACACTTATTTTAAATGCAGCCAGAATTTTTTTTTTTTTTTTGCCTGTCTAAAACAGGAGATTAATTTGTCTTTGTAGGACCAGACCGAGTTGCCTCTTCGGTCTAATGTGGTGATTTTTAGCATTGCTTTCTACAAAGAGCTTAAGGATATTAGGTGGCCAAATCTCAGTGGCTGCCAGTCAGACTACTTTTCCTTTGAAGATCTCATATGCATCTCTCTCATATGTCCCCAGAATGTGCATCTCTGAAGCTGTGGGCTTTCATTTCATTTTATTTTAGTTTAGCATCAGAAACGGGGAGGATTTAATTTCTTTAGGACAGAAGTCTCCAACCTTTATTGACTGATGGGATGTAACACTTGCCTTACACGACATTCATTCCTCTTCTGTCTCCTCTCTTGTGGTTCCTTTTATGTTGGATCTTCTTTAACTCAGTCCTGCACCCTTCTTTGTTTTAGCATCTCTCATGTTCTTTTAGCTAATGCCTTCCAATTTTCTGTGTGTTTCATTGCCTCTTGCACAATCAAGACTAATCCTGGCCCAAAGCCTTCTGTCAGAGACAAGTGAATTCTCTGAAACAGCTTTTTTAACATCTGGATTGAAAAACTGTGAAAAGTAATATGTATGTTGCTGATGAATTTCGCCCTCCTGGAAATGTTTTATTTCAGCTGTAACTTATTATCCCATAGTTGCTGAAACCAAAAATATAGCATAATGAAGTCTGACTGACACTTTCAGTTTTTCCACATGGCGTACTAATCTGGAAGTTGTTGTGGTGTCCTGGGGATTTGGATGTGGAAGATAAGAATTTAACTGTTAGAGAAATCTGCCTTAGTTCTGAATTGCATTGTTATGGAAAATTTACTGGTATTGTAGCTATTTTCTTTATGTCCCAGCTTTTATCTGGGAAGTGGTTTTTCTAATTATTTTGACATTTTACTTGTTTTCATTATTTCATGATGAGAGGTATGATCTCACCATGCTTGATGATGACATCACAAGATAAAAGAGAAGGTCTTCAGTCTCCATAGACATGCCCAGAGCTCCTTAGAGCTGGATTTCAAGTCATATTCGTGAAGCCTTTGGTGTCCTGCAGTTCCTTCTCCTGTCTCACCCCTAGAAGGATTAGTGAAGCTCTGTGACTCTGCCAGCAGGGAACTGCAGTATAATGTGCCCGTAAGAGGGTCATCACTGAAACAAGGCAGCAACAGAATGAGTGTCAGCTCTGAGCCAGATAATTCATGGCTCTCAAAGTAGGAGGGAGTGTGCTTAGGGTTTTTCTTTGTTGGCTGGTTAGAGATGTACAGGTAGGTTGTACACTGTGTCATGATAAATGCTGTCAAATGTCCACTCTGACCTGCTAAACTGAAGTCGTAAAAATTGTGAAGTCTGGATAAGTTTATAATGAAAAGCTGCTTCTGGGTAAAGGTGAGGCAAATTGATATATCTTGGCTTAGGGAGACTCAAAAGGACTCAATTTAAATTTGTTAGGCTTTACTTAAAAACTGTGTAAAGGTAACTAAAGAAATATTTTTTGTTGAATTGTAGAGGTTTGAATTTCTCCCTGAGATGGTCGTAGAGATGCTGTCGGTAGTAGCGGTCATTTGAACTTCGTGAAAACTACTGAGCATCTTGGATTTGCTTTTTGGAAATCTTTTGAGTGATCAGCCCTGCTTATTAACAGATAAAAATTCTCTTGTGCAGTTATTATAGCCAACAAACTTAAAAATGATGAACGTTTTTTTTAAAAGCAAACTTATGACTTTGGAGGAGAACAATAAAAACTTAATTTTTCATAACTGCTTTCTTTTTGACAGATTATGGAAGAAACAAATACACAGATTGCTTGGCCATCTAAGTTGAAGATTGGAGCGAAATCAAAAAAAGGTATTTTAGCTTGTTCTTTTTATGGGGTGGGATTACTTGTTGGAATGGTAAAACCACAGGATAAAGAAGCTTATTTTTAGGATCACCATATCAGTACTGGACACCTGAAATATTTTCATTTCGGTCTGTTTTTAATAGAAGTTTCATGTTGATGTTATCTTGGCTTTATGTAGGTATTTTATATACAAACCCATTCTAAGGAGTTTGCAGTTCTACGAGTACCCTTTTATCAATACTATTGCATTTAGTGTATTTAGCAAGTGCTAAACATAGAATTATAAAAATAAAAAGCAAAAATAGAATTATACAGCTTTCTGCTGTATAATTCTGCATCTAATTGGAACAGCTTCCTTATTTTACAGCACCCAAAGTCAGTCATTCTGGTGACATTGCAAATTAGCAGGTATTCTGTGGGGGGTTTTGTAGAGTACAAAGATGTGTGTTGGTCAAGCCCAGCAGAACAATAAATACTCATTGTGTCCCTGACAGGGACAGCCTGCATGCCTTTTTGGTTTCTTTAAGAAACCTGAGTTGGAGTTGTTTCTCAGGAATGATCAGTATTATGTGTTTTAAATTAGGCTTCTTTTGGAAGTCCAGCCTGTTAGTGCGAACTGAGTACACAGTCTGGGACATCTCCTTTTGAAATGAGCTGCCTTATTCTGTTCCTAAGGAATCATAGCTGTGACTGAGTGAAAGTAACACTTCATTTCTCTCCTGCATGAAAAAAATGAAATTGGGGGTGATTTTGAACTTTGCCTGTACTTCTGTTCAGGATGATACTCATGAAAACCCAAGAAAGTGGAGAGCGAATAATTTTTGTGTGCCTTATATTTAGAATGTGTAGGTGGAGATGTGGGCTAACAACCTGTGTAAATGAAGGTCTTATGGGAAGAAAAAGGATCTTTTTAGAAAGGAGCAGAATTAATACCATTTTTATGGTGTCAAGTGATATTCAGTCTCTGAGGTACTTTGCCATGAGGTGTTGAAGTCCAAATTGATTTAATTTGCCCCCCATACACTTGCATGGAAAAAAAAAAATCTCACTTAAGTGGGGAAAGATGGGGAAGGAATTCAGACTGGAAAAGATGAAGATGTTATGTATGCATTAATGTGCGGAACATTATTAACATTTTTATTAACATTATTAAGAAACATTTGTAGTCAGTGCAAACCTGTGTTCTGCCTGTGGTGCTCTGCATACTCTGCCTGAGGTGCTGTGAATTGATGCGCAGCTAAAGCTCCCCAGGGAACAGAGGCAGAGAGTTTTTCTTTTGAGGGGAGAAAAGAAGTAGCAAAACTGTGCCTGAACCTTTTTTTTCCCCAAATTTAAGTGAGCTTAATTCTGAAGATGAAAGGTGGATGGAAAGGCCATGAAAAGAGGGGTAAGAAAGGTGTTGTCTAGTTTGTTTTTTTTTTTTTTTATTGGTACTTGGAGATGCAGCTTTTTAAGTAGATTAATATAACCTCTTTATTAGTGATCTCAAGTAGAAGATAATGCAGTGGAGCTCTATCACTGTATGGAATGAATTTGAATACCAAGGGAAATAAAACGGCTAAGAGTTATGAGCTGATAATAAAACTGCAAATTGAAAGATAGGAACACATAATACAGCTGGGCATACTGAGGGTATCTCAGTGGGAATGATTATCCTGGAAGGTCTTTATGCCAAAAGAAACTTCAGATAGTGATGGGCTGCAAACTAGACAGTTTAGCAATATGCTGTACTATTAAAAGAGGTGTTTCCAATGCCTGTGGATTTCAGGGTGGCTCCAGAGTTAAGACTTGTTCTCTCTGGCTGTCTTTGGTCTGCTAAATTGTGTATATATACACCTAAGATACTAAATTACAGCATGTGCATGAAGAACCCCTTAACCTAAAGGTTTCTATTTCTTGTGAAATAAAGTGTAGCTTATATGTTCTGTTTATACTTGGTGCCAATTGTTTGCAGTTCTGTAACTTTCCATTTGCAGCTACAGCAGCTGTTTATATAGGGGAAAATATTCCAAGTGTTTAGCGTAGTCCAGCTTCACTTAATGACATTCTGTGATTGAGAGGAGAGTCTGCAGCAAATAACTGGCCGTTATTTGTCCCCTCCAGGGACTTGAACTCAGAACATGCTCCTTCCCTGTCCCCTGGCTGGGAGCTGAGTGCCTGAGTCATCCAGCAAGGGAGAAGCAGTCAGGGATGGATGGACAGCCTTGTACCCCAGCCATGTGCTGTCCTCTGTCATAATCAAGTGATAGCAGATTGTTCATACAGTCTTGCAGCTTCACTTTCTGTGGGTGTGTGTTGTGGTCTTTGGTTATTCACAGCTCTCCTCCCAGTATAGGGGAAAAACCATCATAAGGGAAACACATCTAGTTTTGCTTTTGTTTCTGTGATGTTGTTCAGTCTGTCATGAAACAGTGCTCTTCTCACTGCTGTTGACAGTTTTTTTAAATTTGACACCACTGATACTGAATCAGTAAGGACAGACTACATGTTTTCTTTGGAACTGAAACACAAAGGTATTGAAATTTGCAGAGGAGGTGGAAGTAAGGTTCAGCAAGTTGATGAAGATTCAGTTCTGCACAAGACCCAGAATCCTTTTGAGATCTTGTAGGGAAAAAAAAATGCTATGATGATGCTGAAGCACTAAGAGTAGATAACCTATGAGTTGTCCAATTGTTTCGTTTCTGTGTTATATGGATTACAAGTTTTAAATCGATGATTGAAAAATGCTACATATCAAGTATCAGAGTGCTAATTCATTAATTTACACTTGATAAATATTTTCTGATTATTTTTTTAACTGCAAAAGACTAATGTCTGGATTTCACAAATACAGAATTTAAAATTTGGCCAATTAAAATTCATTGTTTAATGCGAAATTTATGAAATGGGTCTTTGCAAAGCTAGATTTTTTAAAAATAAACCAACAATTATCTACTCTCAACGGTTTCATAAGAGCCAAACAGGAATTTCCTGGTTTTAATGAACACCATATGCTGAAGTCTTACTCTAGTGATGAGGGGTGAGGAGGGTTAAAGTATTTTGAAATAAATGTTTACAAAACACAGGCAGATATAAATCTTCCAGTAGCATCTTAAAGGAAACCATTTGTTCAGGTTGACAAAGAAATCCCATCACATTAAGACTTAGAGAGGGAATTGAACAGTTTAAAGTGCTTCATGAGTGATTCCTGTCCATCAGCAGTGAAAGAATGGGCACTGGAACGGTTTGTTCTGCTTTGTACTGGGGCTGTGGAGTTCAGGGTGTACCAACACCTCCTGGTCTGGAGGTTTGAGGTCTTCTGTAGTGAAACGAGTTAAAGATAAAGCTGAGACAGTAACTTCTACTCTCAGCAGACTTTTTCAGTCTGTTATAGTCACTGTTCCTTAGGAATGCTGTTAATTGTCTTTTAAAGATTTACTCAGTGGTATAAAAGTATCAGTAGACTGCCAAATCCTAGATGGTCAGATGTTGTAGTTCCACAAACACTTTCCAGACAGGCATAAGCTAATGTTGTTTTTTGTCCTCTCTTCCTTCCCAAAATACTGACTTGTTGTGTTCTTCTTGTCCAGCCCTATCTGCTGTGCTGTCACTAGGTGCTTGGGGGGGGAACAGGTTGGAGCATGGATAATTTTTTTTATTATTGGGGAGGGGGAGTTCCTTGTGCATTTGCCTTAACCCTCACTGTGTTTCACCACGTCTATGTCAACCTGTAATGCTGAATGCACTGAGAGCAGGTGAACATCTTGTTACTCACTAGCAGTGCCTTTGATGGTAATTTAAGATGTTCTTATTAAAGTGGGTAAATGGGAGTTGATATTTCACTCATATTCTGTACTGCTTTTTATTTCTAAATCTGTGTGTCCCTTGGTATTTCAGCAGTGTAAAGAAGTTACAGGACATGTGTGTGCTCAGAGCACAGACAGCCTTGGAATAGCATTTGGGGAACAACCAGCACAAGAATCACATCAGCTCCTGAAACCTTAGTGGCTCTATGCAGGAAGTCATTCAGTGAGTTGGAGCAGGGAAAATTTAGAGAAGTTAAAAAAGCTGTGAAGGGAAACGCAAAGTAAATTGAACTTACAGAGCAGGGATAACTCTGGGGTTTCTTTCACCATTCATTTTTGAAAAGGATTTCTCATGCTCTTTTGTATTTGCTGTTATTCCCATATTTTCACTCCCCTTCCATATTCTTCAGATTAATATCCAGCTCTTTATCGATGTCATCTGTTGAAGTTACCCACTTATTTCTTTTCCTTCTCTCTTGAACTGCTCTTATTTTATTTCACCTTTCATTTGCTGTTTCTATTTTTTGAGGGTTTTATTTTGCTTTTTGTTTGTTTTTGTTCTTCCTCTCTTATTTATGATGCATTTTTAGTTGGTTAGTAAAAATCTAGTCCGTGTTTGGTGTCTTTACTTTTTCCTTACCTGATTTTTCTTTTTGCTTATTCTTTCATTGTTTTTTAATAATTTTTTAAAAATTTCAACTTGTTTTTGTTGTCAAAGCATCGACTACATGTTATTTTTCATTAGCAAATCTCAAATTCAAGTCAAGTACATAGCATGTCCAATTTATATCCAAGGAGAATAGCAGGAGGAAACACAGTGGTAATAAAAGACATTGGAACGAAGGCAGCAATAACTAGAACTGGGCATTGCTGACATTCATTGCCTGGCAATTTGTTTTCACACTTTTTCCTTAAATTTTGCCTTTTATAAATTAGCTTGCAAACCGATTCCAGTATTTCATGCTTTGCATCTTAAACTGCAAAGGTATTCTGCACAATGAAGTTAGCAGCTGTAATGCTATGTTTGAGGCAAATAATTCTACTGAGAGACTTCAGCCAAATTAGTAAAACATGGCTCCCGTTTGTTGGAGTGTTGCATAGCACTTTGAGCATTATTATAAAAGCCAGAGGTTGATTATTTTGTTAAAACTGCGTGGTGAACTCAAGGCCAAACTTGGATGGGAGTTACTGCCTTAGATATCAAGAGTAAGCTGAAGTGTTTGTTGCTTCAGACCT